GAAGACTTCATCACTTAGCTGCCTTTGCACTTTGGGAAGAAAAATGGGGTTGAGAAAGGAGGCGTCCTGGGTGATTGTTCTGAAGCTGAGTGGAAGGACATTGAATAGACCCTTTCCATAAGTGTCTTTTTGTAAACAAATTTAGTTCACATCTGGAAATGTCTTTTTTTAGCCATTGTGATTTATTTGTCTTTCAATACATTTCAGCTTTATTGGGGGGGGGGGTTCCCTCTCGCCTTCTCTCTCTCTCTTTCTTTTCTCTATCCTTGTTGCATTGCCTTACTCTAAAAAAACCCGGGTGTTTTTGAGTGGGCCCATCTACAGTTAGCAAATTGAAACCCATTTAGTTTGGCCTTCAGCTAGCCAACTGGGGCAAAAGAACATGACACCAACAGAGTCTATTTCTAGTATGAACTTCCAAAAGATTCTTGATCAGAATTAAATCCTGGAGTCATATCAGAGACCATGTGAAGAAGGAAGCCATTAATTCTTCCAAATTGATTATATCCCTTTCTTAACCAAGTGAAATCTTATTCTTTGTATTGCTCAGACAAAATGTCCTTTTTTTACTTCAGCACTACCTTTTTTCAATGGCTCAAATGGTTGTCCCCTTTCCATCTAAGCCCTTGCAATAACGGTGTGACTTAAGCTGAACCGAAAGATGTGTGACAGGCCAAGGGTCATTTGTTGACCCTTGTGGCTGATTTGTGGGCTCAGAACAGGCTGGCAAATCTGTTAATGTGGAGTCCTTGGGGTTCTCTGAGCTTGGTTGTTTTCTTGTAAACGTTTCATTATCCGGCTACGTAACCTCTTCAGTGCTAGCATGCTTCTGTTGAAATCTGTTAATCTGGATATTTTGGCACTGAAATGCCAAATCAGACTCTTCAGGGGTGGCATATCATAATCAAAATGTTGTTGTCTTGATTCCCTCTTTATTCAAAGGAGGTCCCTAGCTTATGAGTGGTTGAAGATGGTCCTTTCATAATCTAATAATGAGCCGATAGCCCACTAAGCTGGCCTTCCCTACTGAGTCCTAGAAAGTACAATATTTGAGACACCACATATCATGCTACAGCAGCTATTCTGAGGCTAATATCTTCCAGATTGTTGTGACTTTAAATCCCAAAATGTATTCAGTTGATCTGGAATGTAGGTGATGCATTGATCTAAGACGGGTCATATTATTTACTCTTGCCTCTCTAATTCTTTTTAAAGAGAGGAGGGAGATCAGAGAATTACGAGAAGGGATGCATGGATATCAGGCAAAAGAGAGAACAAGAAAAAGATGGGAGAAGGTGGGGAAGGAGAAGACAATGTGAAATGAAAAATGACTCCTGAATAACTGGTTAGAATGAAAGGGAGGGCTTAGGACAAAATTGATGACCAGAGAACTCTTCTATGTTGGTTTTGGTAATCAGTCAGACTGCTGGAAATTGAGCATGTGTGTGCATTTGCAAATAATTGGTTGAGCAGTCAATGTAGGACATCCTCTTAACGGTTTATTGGCAACAAATCATCCCTTCTTCCAAAAGTTTCTTGGTGTCTCTCTCACCCCTGCATGCAAGAACTCAGATTTCAACTAAAGTCAAACACAGTTTACATCTTGGAAATAGGATAAAAAGGTCATACACTGCCATGAGAAAAGTCCTAAAATATGTAGTCTTTTTCCCCCCTCTCCCTTCCACCCTGCTGTCTTCCAGCACCAAACATGATCTCATCCTTTGACTTTTTTTGGAACAGAGATCACTGTTAGAAGCCTGAAAAAATTTCTTCACCATGAAGCATACAAAAGGTTGCGTTTCTGATTTGTGCTGTTTCCCATGAACTGCTGTGCCCAAGCATGGCTTCTTTTCTTAAGAGCTTGCTCCATGACTCTTCCACATTACTGTTCATTTCTCCTTGTTATTTGTGTCATTTATGCAGCATTTCCGTCGTGTTTTATCATTGCAGTCTGAATTTCCACATTTAGTATCCACACTGACAAATCACATCATTGGCCGCATTTGCGAACAACAGTCACCAATGAACAAACAGTGCATTGACTCCTTGAGCTACTAATTTTGCTCCTTCTGGTTCCTCCTACCAGTGGACTCATTGAACAGATCTGGAAGACTCTTAATAGTTTCTTTTTAATCTTTCTGTTTTAAAGTGTTCTTATCCTACCCTTCTAATGCATCTCTCACGATGGCTTACAATATTTACAATCTGTGCAAAATCTAAATATTTAAAAAACAGACAGAGGCAGGAATAAAACTGAGGTAACTAGCCTTCCCAGAATTTAAAAGTTTTGATTCATCAGCAGATCACCACCAAGAAGGGTACTGGTGTAGCTCCCTGAGGTAACAGATCATAGTTTTGGAGAAGTTTCTGAAAAGGCTGTTTCTCTGGTCTCAGTCAAATGGACTTCCATTGCAGTTGAGACACAAAAGAGACCTCACCACCAGTCTTAGACAACAGGTAGGCTTTTATGGGAAGAGTTAGTCCTGGAGGTCTGCTGGATTGAAGAACTGTAGGGCCTTAAAGAACAGCAGTACTTTTTAAATTGAGCCTTACTTGTGAGTCGTTTCTGTACTGTCTCACGTGAACCCAGGAATCCTGATTTGCTTTTCCCAGAACAAACCATAGTCTGAAATCAATCCTGGCAAGGAAACCCAGAGAGAAATTGGAGCACCTTGCATGTAGGATGGAATAGCAGTTCTTTTGTAATGGTATGTGGGAAAGACCTTGGGAGATGGGGGGAAGAGATGCTGCCAAGGGAATGGTCAGATAAGAGAGAGCATAGCCTGCTACTGGATTGTGGGCAGGGCAAGAGGCTCAGAAGGGACCCTCCCTAGTTTCTCAGGCTGTAAAGGAGACAGGGTAGGATTGTACTTTAAGACTTGCAAGATTCTGTCAATGTAGCTTTACAATAAATAGAATTAGCTCATCTGGTTGTGATTCCTATCTGGTTTACCCCAGCCTACATCAATATTGCAAATCTAAAAGTACAGTCCTCCCCTCTGTCTCCTTTACAGCCCAGTCCTCCTTTAGGGAGGGTCTCTTA